TCTGTTGTGATTATAGACGACTAAACTCTATCACCGTGAGGAATAGCTATCCCTTACCGCTCATTCCGGAATTGATGGAGCGGTTGCGGGAGGCTACTATCTTCACTAAACTCGATCTGCGTGGGGCTTACAACCTGGTTCGGATGCGCAAGGGGGATGAGTGGAAGACGGCGTTTGGCACTCGTTATGGTCATTTCGAGTACACCGTCATGCCATTTGGTCTAACCAACGCTCCCGCTGTATTCCAGCATTTGATGAACGACATTTTTCGGGACATGCTGGATCGGTTTGTCGTGGTGTATCTGGATGATATTTTAATCTATTCTCGGTCCAGGGATCACCACCTTCATCAGGTCCGTCAAGTGCTGCAGCGTCTTCGGGAGCATAAGCTCTATGCGAAACTGGAGAAGTGTTTCTTTTTTCAGTCATCGATAGAGTTTTTAGGGCACATCATTTCTCCCGAGGGCATTGCTATGGACCCTAAAAAGGTTGAGGCATTGTGTAGTTGGGAAGCCCCTCGTCGAGTCAAGGACGTCCAATGTCTTTTGGGATTCGCCAACTACTATCGGACTTTTATCCCGGACTTTGCTAAAGTAATGGACCCCATAACTCAGCTCCTCCATAAGAAGGTCCCGTTTGTGTGGGGGGGCCCGCAACAACAGGCTTTTGACATTTTAAAGAAAGCGTTTGTAGCTGAGCCGATATTGAGGCATCCTGATCCGAATCGTCCATTTGTGGTCGAGACAGATGCCTCTAATGTCGCTATCGGAGCGGTACTGTTACAAGCTTCGAAGGATGGCGCGCCTCTTTTCCCATGCGCATACTCTTCTAGGAAGCTCACAGCTTCAGAGCGCAACTACACCATCTGGGAAAAGGAGTTGTTGGCCATTAAGGCTGCTTTTGAGACCTGGAGACATCATTTAGAGGGGGTTCGGCACAAGGTAGAGGTTCGGACAGATCACCGAAACTTGGAACATTTGACCACAGCTAAGAAATTGAACCAATGCCAGATTCGGTGGTCGTTGTTTTTTGCCAGGTTCAATTTCTCCGTTACTTATGTTCCGAGTGGACAGAATCGGAGGGCAGACGCGTTGTCTCGGAAGCCCGAGTATATCAGTCCCGAGGATCCTCTTCCTCTACGAATGGTGTTACCACCAGAATCCTTGGCCGTACTGCAAGATCCAATAGACTTGCGGGCTCGCATACGAGAGGCGCAACGATTGGATGCGTGGGCGCAGCAGAGACAGGGGGATGTCAGACCTGATTCTCCATGGTCCATTGAAGAGGACTTGCTCCGACATTGGGGTTTATTATACGTACCTACCAGGTCGTTGAGAGCTCTCATCATGACACAATGTCATGATAACCCCGCTGCTGGCCATTTTGGATTTTATAAAACCTTGCATTTGGTCACCCGGACTTTTTGGTGGCCTCAGGTTCATCACGATGTGTTCTCTTACGTTGCTTCTTGCGTCCAGTGTAGGCAAGCGAAAGCGGCATCGGCTGTGCCCCCTGGACTCCTCCAACCATTGCCGACTCCGGGCAGACCATGGGGAGCGATCTCCATGGACTTTCTCACACATTTACCATCCTCATCGGGCTTCACGATGGTGCTCGTGGTAGTTGATATGCTGACTAAAATGGCTCATTTCATTCCCTGTCGGAGATTACCTTCATCCCGCACTACGGCTCAGCTATTTTTACAGCATATCTTTCGTCTGCATGGACTGCCAGATAGAGTGGTTTCTGATCGTGGGGTTCAGTTTACTGTGCAGTTTTGGAAACAGTTAATGGCAGCGCTACAAGTTCAGGTGTGCTTAGCGTCAGTGCACCATCTGGAAACTGATGGCGGGACTGAGAAGGTGATTGGCATTCTTACCCAATATTTGAGGTGTTTTGTTAATCAGCGACAAAGCGATTGGGTGAAATACCTCCCATTGGCAGAATTCGCTTTTAATAACTCGCAGCACACCTCCACTCGGGTAACGCCATTTTTCGCAAATGTAGGTTATCATCCGCGCTTCTTCCCATTAACTTGGATGGATTCACCGGTTCCTGAGACACAAGATTTTCTGGAGGAACTACAAGCGGTCCACCGTTTAGTAAGGCAACAACTTGAACGAGCGAAAGAGGACTATAAACGGTTTGTGGACCGGTCACGTCGAGCACTGCCTCCGTTAGCTGTGGGTGACAAGGTGTGGTTGTCCACGAAACACCTTCGGATCGATCGCCCAATTAGGAAATTGGACCATCGTTTCATCGGTCCATTCCCGATTGAGGCGGTTATCAACCCTGTGGCATACCGGCTCACCTTACCGCGCTCCATGCGTATTCACCCTGTATTCCATCGCTCTCTTTTGGTTCCTGACTCCCCGGACTGTCCTCTGCGTGCTCCAGCTGGTACGACTTCCCCATCAACGCCCCGTGAGGAGGCGGAGGTTGATGACACGGTGGTCAGCGTTACTGATTCGCGTTGGCTCAAGGGTCGTTTCCAGTATTTAGTTGGGAGGAGAGTGGATGACTCGGAAATTTGCTCATGGACGGATGCGTCTGCAGTTCATGCTCCAGACATCATTCAGGACTTTCATGAGCATTTCCCTTTGAAACCGCATCCGGATCGTCAGACCCGGGGAAAGGGCCCTGCGGTGAGGGATAGTGTTGTGGCTCCGGGCTTGGATTCAGCTCCTGTGACTGATATGAGTTCAAGTGAAGAGGTCATGGCAGAAAAATATGAGCCGGCCTGGCTTAGTGATTGGACTGATAACCAGGATGAGGAGATGGACGTGACAAAGGACGACAGACCTGATGTATTAGAATTGTCAGGACCTTTGACCTCCTCTGGTTCCTTATCTGATCAACAGCCGGGAATGGCTGACAGGGAAGTTTTGAGAGAGTCTTCTAGTGGAGATGAGAACTTGGAAAAATTGTGGTTAAATGTAAAAAATAGAAGATGGTTGAGAAGGCAAAATCAGCTGGAGCGAATGAGGAGAGCGAGTCAGTAAATTAGCACGTTGCCTCAATGAGTATAAAAGGACACAGCTGGGCTGGTCCATTTTGTCAGGAACAAAATGACTATTTGAGTGAGGACGTTACAGCAAGAAGCTCTGAGACTGGAGATTTATTGCCAGGACTGGTTTGCCGGACAGAGTAAAGATTTATGCTGTGGTTTCTGCCAGCCGTTATCTTGTAAGACTTCTTTCTGTTTGATTTAATTGTGAAACGGCTGCTTTCTGTTTTGTTCGTTTGAATTTTGAAGGGGAGTCATAACAGTAGGGAATGGAAGGATTTATATTCCTTGCAGACAGCTGGTCATTCACATCCTTTTAGAGAGTTGTTGAGACCACTTGGAGTCCCAAAGGTGCTGTTTCAAGAGGCAACTGGACTTTCTGTTTTTTTCTTTGAAGACATTTCGCTTCTCATCCAAGAAGCTTCTTCAGCTCCAACTGGATTGTGAGGAATGAAGGATTTATACTCCTTGCAGACAGCTGGTCATTTGCATCCTTTTAAAGAGTCATTGAGGCCACCTGGAGGTTTATCTCTTCATCTCTCATTGAGATAAAGGCCAGACCTCGCTTCTCATACCGGTGTGAATAACAGAAAAGCATGCTTGCACTTCATGTCCAGTTTCTCTTTGAGTTGTGGTACAACCACGCCAGTTGTGTACTTCTCAAGTTGTTTATGGAAAGTTGCCCCTGTTTTGTATAACCATCTTTTGAAGTGGAGGCCAATGTTGACAAATTCAAAAGTTCTGCTTCCTGTCTTGATGAATCTGGTTGTAAGTCTTCACAGATAATCCTTGACTTACGTCTTTAATGATTGTTCAAAAGTTACAATGGTATTGAAAATACTAATTTACATCCGGTCCTTGCACTTATGACTATCAGAGCATCCTCACAGTCACATGATCATGATTTAGGTGCTTCGCAACCTTTATGTACCGGTAATCCTCAACATACAACAATTCACTTAGTGACTGTTCAAAGTTACAGTGGCACTGAAAAAAGTGAGTTATGACCATTTTTCACACTAGTGACCGTTTCAGCATCCCCATGGTCACATGATTTACATTTGGATGCTTGACAATGGACTCACATTTATGACAATTATAGTGTCCCGGGATTATGTGATCCCCTTTTTGACCTTCTGACAAGCAAAGTCAATGGGAAAACAAGATTCACTTAACAACCGTGTTACTAATTTAACAACTGCAGTGATTCACTTAACAAAAGCAAAAATAGTAGTAAAATGGGGCAAAACTCAACAAATTTCTCACTTAGCAACATAAATGTTGGGCTCAATTGTGTTCATAAGTTGAGGACTACCTATATTTATGATCATTCCAGAATCCTGGTGTTCACATGATCTCCATTTGCAACCTTCCCAGCTAGCTTTTGATAATAAAGTCAATGAAGGAAGCCAGATTCACACAAAAGGGTTGTAAATTCAGGCACAAATCACTTAAACGGCTGCATTGTTTAGCAGCAGAACGTCCAGTTCCAATTGAGGTCATAAGTTGAGGACTACCTGTATTGAAAGAGTCTTGGCATATGGGAAGTGCACTTTTGTCTCTAAACATTCCTAAATGTTGTCCCTTTTGAGGAATGGACAACCTCAGGACACCCTGATGGACTTTACTTCCCATTGTTCTTGTTGTTCAATCAGTAAATCATGCCTTACTCTCTTCAGCCCCATGGACCATTGCACACCAGCACACCCACCGACCCCAGTCCTCCATTGCCTCCTGAAGTTTACCAAAATTGATATTTATTGTATTATCTAACCCTGTCATCCTCTGCTGTCCTCTTCTCCCTTTGCCTTCCATCTTTCCCAAATATCAGGGTCTCTTCCAATGAATCCTGTCTTCTTATTTGGCAGCCAAAGTATTTGATGACATCCCATAGTTCCTAAATTGGAAGAAAATATTGGGTATTCCTCCTTTGGCTTTTGCCGCCATATCCATACCTCCCTTTTCCTTCTCCTGCTTTTTTTTCTCTCCAAAGGTTCATCTTGGGAGCCACGTTTGGAGCAATAACCAGGCGCAGCGGGGATGGCACCTGCCTCTGGAAGGGCCCCTGCCGGTGCTCTCCGGGGCCCAAGTCAAGCTGCAGGACTTCCTGGGACAGGACATCCCAGCCCAACTGGTGGGGGTGGATCCCCTTTCCTTCTGGAATCAGTACACTGCCTTTGTCTCTGGGGGCCTGCCCGCCAAGTCTGCCCACAGCACAGCGGCTTCCGTTGTTTCATCTTCCTCCTCTTCTTCCCCCAACATGACCACACAAAGCCTCTTTGGATCGAGCAACGTGCCTGGGAAGGTGGTCCCCGCGGAGTCCAAGGAGAAGCTTCCGGTGACCAACTTGCTACTCCTTTCCCCGCCAGCAGCCCCCATTTTGGAAACAATCCCTGAGAACCAAGGAAAGGGGGAGAAGTAACCCAGCTTCTACTGAGTAAGGTGGTAGTGGGAGATTATGAAGCTTGTGAGAAACCCGACCCTGGCCAAGATGATGAGATTGAAGTGGCACTTTGCCAGCATGTCTGCCTCCGTGTGTTTTTATCAAAATGTTTGGCTAGTGGCTGATATTGGAAGCTGGATCAAACATTCATTACTAGTAAACAGTCTCACTTTGGGTCTGTTTCATTTTATTTGGCTCCCAGGGTAGGGTAGGGTAGAGTAGAATAGGAATAGGGATAATAGTCCAACCCCATGCCAATGGTATAGGCAGGAAACCCTATACTATTTCAGACAAATGGTTGTCCAATCTCTTCATAAAAACATCCAGTGTTGGAGAATTTACAACTTCTGGAGGCAAGTTGTTCTTCACCTGAGTATTAATTGTATGGGACTCTAGTAGAAAGTTTAACCTGGTGCATAAAAGTAAACCAGGTCAGTATTTACAGGTTTTGTTGTATTTTTGGTCTCGGAGGGGAAATCTGTGAACATCCATGACCTGGTTTCAAGTTGGGCATCTGGTTTGATGGAGGGCTTCAAACTCAGCAGAGGTATTTGATTGACTGGACAAACCAAAGAAGGTTGGATCTTATTAATACTGGGATGGGAAACCACAAAGAGATCCTAAAGTTAGATGCTAGATTGTGAAGTGAAAATAACAGTAAAAATCCTACTGGCAAAATGTTTCCAAGAAAACTACACATGGCTTGGGAATCAGCCTTGATTTGAGGAAGTCTTTATTTTTATGATTAAAAAAAGTCATAGTTGGAGTTGCAAGGCCAGAAGAGTTGAGAACTTGCTCCCTATAACTATATCCCTCTCTTTTTCTCTTCCAGAATGATCCACTCAAGAGGGACCAAGTGTGTGACAGCAATTAAACCTTATATCTGACGTTGCAAATTGATATGGTTCCAGTATAATTTTAGCAACTTTTTAGTGTTTTACTTTTAACGTAGTTTGGAGCTCCGTCGGCCGAAAGGCAGGATCCTGACCCGAGGCAGGGAAGGATGGTCCCTGCCTTGTACTTTTGATTTTTTTTTAAAGAAACTTCCCTCTCATGTAGAACAGGACACCAAATGGCCTCAACCGAAGAATTTATTCCCTCAGTAAAATAAATTTGAAAGAATTATTGAGTCTGTGGGTTTTCTTTCTGGCCACAGGGAAAAGAAGTCCCTTTATTTTGAATTCTGATTTCCTTTGGGAAGGAGAACCAGCTTCATGCATGATCTGAATTCATTATATATTCCAGTTTGTCAAAAGGCAGTGAAAGGGAATTGAAAGATGCCACTTTGAAAATTATTGTTTGGGTTGTCTCAAAGGTGCTTTTTCAAAAGACAACTGGACTGTTTTTTCTTGGAGGAGGAGGAGGAGGAGGAGGAGGAGGAGGAGGAGGAGGAGGAGGAGGAATTTCGCTTCTCATCCAAGAAGCTTCATCGATTCTGGACAATGAAGCTTCTTGGATGAGAAGCAAAATGTCATCTTCCTCAAGGGAAAAAAACAATCCAGTTGCCTTTTAAAAAAGCATCTTTTGAGACAACTATGACCTGGATGACTGAGAATCTCCACAGGTATTTTCTGTTTGTTTGTTTTTTAACAGCGGCCAGATTCTTTTGTTTAGTTTTTTAGAGAAAATAATAGAAACCAACACATTGAATGATTGACATTCAAATGTGAGTTTACATACCCTTTCTGAGTTTTGGTCTAAAACTGGTTTTTGGTGAAGTTTAATTCTGTGCTTGGTGAGGTTTAATCCTGTGTTTATTGATGGGATAATTTTCCCTATTCAGCTTTGTTTGGAAGGAAAAGGGTTAATCTCTGTTCCTGAAAAGAAACTGGGTTTAGAAATCTGTCTAGTTCCTATGTCTATTTGGTCTGGTAATTGGTTTAACAAGCAACAGCTACTGTTGTGATTTAATTATTTCTATTGTGTTTGAATTTTTTCCTGCCTCATGGTTTCTTTTTCTATCTGGGGAGCGGTTCTTCCTTCACTGCTTTAGTGGTATCTGGCACTGTCCTTTTAGGGTGTACTTCCAAGAGGCAGGATGCAAGCTTGGCACTGATTTTTTTTTACTGCCTTTCTGGTTGGGCATGTGATCTTCCCTTAAATCTGGATGATTTCCTTAGGATAACTTGTGAGGTGAGTGAGACCAGCTGGTATCTTTAAATGGTGCAAATGGATCTAAGCAGAGGTGGTATTCAGCAGGTTCTGACCAGTTCTGGAGAACCGGTAGCGGAAATTTTGGGTAGTTCGGAGAACTGGCAAATACCACCTCTGACTGGCCCCGCCCCATCTATTCTCTGCCTCCTGGTTCCCAGCTGATTGGTTGGGTCTTCTTTTGTTGCCCTGCACAGGAGAACAGAGCTGGAAAGCAGGTTAGTGGAGTGGGAAGAGAATGGGGATTTTGCAGTATCCTTCCCCTGCCAAGCCTACCAAGCCACACCCACCAAGCTACACCATGCCCACAGAGTAAAATTTTTTGAATCCCACCGCTGGATCTAAGGATTGCTTCTCCTGGGTGTGCTCTTTCTGGAGAGCTTAAATGACCTCTCTGCTAAAGGGTTTCATTTTATGAGCAAGAGTTGGCTGCTGATAGTTATCATTGCATTTTAACTATTTTAATTCCTCAAGGTAACTCCAGCTTGCAGGTATTTTTAATCTAATGATTGGTATTTAGGACAGCTTTTTGCAGGCAAAGAAGCTTTTTGTATTTTTGTACAGGTAATCCTTGACTTGCAAAAGTTCATTTAGTGACCATTCAAAGTTACAATGGCACTGAAAAAAGTGACTTATGACCGTTTTTCACACGACCGTTGCAGCATCCCCACAGTCATGAGAGGCTATGTGAGGAGAAGCGCCCCTTGATGTGAGTGATGTAGAATTGGCCATGTCCACCCAGTCACATGACCACCAAGCCATGCCCACCAACTAAGCCATGCCCACAGAACCAGTTGTTAAAAAATTTGAATCCCACCCCTGAGCCCAACCCACCTCACAGGGTGGTTGTGAGAAAGGTGGGTTATTGAATTATTTGTAAAAATAATAATTAAAAATAATAAAGGCGGAATGCAAATAAACACATTACTCCATAAAATTACAAGCTATGAGTACAAATTGAAACTCCATTCTGCTTTAAATAGCCTATGAAACTGAGGTACTGTATGAACTTTGTACGTTAAAAAAAATAAACTCACATTTTGGATGGGGTACAAATCCATGTGTTTTGTGGATTTTATTCCCCCAAATGGTTCTTGCTGGAATCTCAAGAAATTGCGTAATCGGTGTCCAAATAGAGTCAGAGACGTTGACACGAACTTCTAGTTTTATTTAAATATATTTTACAATTATGTTTACAGCCCATAAGATAGGCATATTATGAGGTAAATCATGAGGTAAATCACAAACGGCATACAGAGAACACAGGAGAAAAAGGCGAGGGGAAAGGGAAACGCCCCCTTTATACCCAGCAACCAATTATAACACAGATTGCCTCATGCAGGAGCCCGCACTGTCCAATCAATCAACTACAATTGTGTATTGTGGCTCATTATACAATTTACTGTTCCAGCTATTAAATTAAACATCTTAACATTTTAAATTATATTTATGTTCAAAAAATGAATTTCAGTGGAAATCTTTTACCATTGTCATAAAATAAGACAAGTGGAACAGGAAATACAAGCATGCACCTCATTTTGCTTTGAATCAAAAGTTTATTTCATGAGCAATTTGGAACATGAAAGCCATCAAAGTACAAACAACAATTCAGTAAAATAATGTTTACATCAACAGCTCATTGCAATGAGATCCAGAGATAATAGCTAGGTCCAGCAAGGAGCAGCTACCGTCAGTGGCCATGATCTGAGATAAAACCCCTTCTTATATACTTTTTCTCTACATCTCTTCTGTTCCTCTGGCAGATTACCAGGGCTACTTCCTCATTCATTGTGCCATCCTGTTGCTTGGCACTTATTTGAAAAACTCTTGTCATCTGCACTTTTTGGTTCCATATTCTCATAATGTCCCAGACAGTTATGTCTAAAATAGACCCAAAACTGATTGAATTGCAACTATTAGATTTACATAATTGCAGATTACAAATTTTCCCTTAGTTTGCGACTTTTAGAAGGCTAGTGCTGTAATATACTATCATATTGGAAGAGTCAAAGCCAGGTTCAGAGCTAGGAAGCATAGACAGATAGAGAGTTACAGGTCTCCTCTTACACTCCCTCCAGTTTGTCCTTCCAGGACAACACTATGATGGATACAAGGTTGCCAGATTTTTAATATAGTCATACATCCCTCATATAAGATGAAAAGAGGATAGCTACTTTGATTAAATTGTTACAAAGCAATACTCTAGTGACATGGCAAATAATCAAGCTGAAACAAGGGTTCATTTAATCAGGGTAGAAGTCAACGCTCTTCTTCATAGTGGCATATCCGTGGTCTTCTGAGTGCACCAGTGTATTGTGAGGGGTCCTATTGTCCCTCTCAGAGGAAAGGGACCTAGCCGAAGGTGCTCTACCAACTTCCAGCAAAGAGGAACTCCCCATTTCACCTGTCACTGCATGAGCAGTGATAGTCATAAGAGGAAGAGGAGTGGCTTTGGGAATTATGGTGGAGATACATCTTTTAATCACAGTAATGATGATACATAGCAGGAACGCAACAGCCAGAATAGATATTAAGAAGAGTAAAAATTTTCCTGCTATACCAGAAAAGACTCCACCGAGTAATTCTAAGAATCCTCCTTTAGCAAAGGATCCATAAGGGGTGACAGGACCTGATTTATAATTTATAACAGCCTGGCAAAGTTTATTGATGTTGGCAAACAAGCTGAGGTTTCTATCTGGAATATGTACACAGCATGAGGACCCCACTAGTTCACAAACTCCACCTTCCTCAGCAAGCACCATGTCAAGAGCTAATCTGTTTTGTAAAACAGTAGTTCTCATTGCAGAGATTTCAGCTCCTATTATCTC